CTAGAAAATGCTTTTCAGACCTGAAGCAGTAATGCTACCATGCTTCTCCGTGACTCACCAGGACAGGCTGGACGCAATGGAAATCACCCAAATACATATATATACCAGCGAGCAGATATCGAGTCTAGTCTGTCCTGATGAGTCACTGAGAAGCACGGCTAAGAAAATCTTTTGCAAATCTTTATGACTATATAAATTGAGATTAACTGAGTTGCTTTGATGGGAAGGTTGGCAATAATGCTGTCAGCAGTGTTATTTTGAGAATTTAGAATGACACAAACACATGTCTTTATTTTGTGACAACCCGTCTGTGAGATTAGTAAGTGGATGCCCATTTAAGTAAAAATGAGTAAAGGGAAGTCACAGATAAGTAATGACATCTTGACCCCTTTTTGGGTATGGATGTTTCTGTCTGCTCCTCCTTGCTCGCAGCTTGAACTCTGATACTTACTGCTCAGGATTGCCACAGTTTTCTTCACATCTTGACCCAGGAAGCTGTAGGAAAGGGAAATAGTCTGAGACAGGGAAATCATCTCGTCTGCTGTGTGCAACTGCCTACTAATCATCTTTCATGGTTGTGCTGTGTTAGATCAATTGGTAAAGATGAGGACAGGGTCATAGGGTCAGTCCACACATTCAGGACTGTTGTCTTCACCTCTCCCATGCCTGGGGGCTATGGCTCTTGAGATGAGGGAACCTGGAAGAGCAAATATCTAACCTGGTTTTGGGGTGTGAGTGAGCACGAGAGGCAGCCATTTATATCAAAATGTTTGTCTAGAAAATTCCTGATCTGTCCCTCAGGATATCATTATTGTCCTCCTAATTCCTGCCCTGCTGAATTCTGACCTGCTGCCCTTTTTCATCCTGAATATGACAGTAACTTACCATACAACAGAAGAAGGGGAAAGGTGGTGGTGGTGGGAGGACCCTGTTTATTAGATGGCTGCTGTATGCCAGCCAGACTGCTAAGAATTTTTAGTATTTCGTGACATTTAATCACAATAACCCTCTTCGTGGTTATATTTCCCTTATTTTGAAGGGTTTAGGGACTAAGGCACCGAGATTTAAGTAATATGACCACCTATACACACCCATTGCTATAGCCACAATTCAAATCAAACTCTATCATATAAAGTATGTGTTGAATGAATTCATAGAACTGGGAACTACTTTGCTTTAACAACTCCTTGACATTACTATCAAATCCCTTCTACTCCTTGTAAAGAAACCTTCCACTCCTTCTTCTACCTTGTATTTCAGGCTGAATTCCTCCTTCAGAGACCCCACTAGGTAGACTTAATTACAGAAGCTGTATTAGTCATCCAATACCTTGAATGACCTGGTATGTCATGAAAGCAACAACGAAGGCCCTTAAAAAAGGCACAGAGATTTGTACCTATTGGGAGTTTATGGTGGGGCACAGGCGGTCAGACAACACACATACTCAAGACCTATCAGGTGAAAGGAATTTGTAAAAGTATTAGCATCCCAGCCATCCTCTGCAGATAACATTTGAGAAACTCCTGGTTATCCGTTCTTGTTTTTATTTAAAATAGATGGCCACTAAAGATGACAAAGTGTATGTTTCCTCCAAACGATCCTGATACTTTGTTTCACTTTCTTTACACTAAAGTTAAGAGAAGCCTAAAGTGCACAGTGGATAAAATGCCACTTTTCATGCTTGTTACAAAGAGAGATGAAGGGAAGAGAAGGAAAAGGAAGAGAAAAGGAAGCAGTAAGAAAATACAAGAAAAAGAAAAAAGTGCATTCTCAGATATCTGTTTAACTGGTATACAGGAAGAAAACAGCCCATTCTGCACAGGAGCTATACAGGAATACACCCTTCAGCTTCTTGGTTTGCTCTCCCCCTTGCTAGATTTCATAGCTACACAAACTTCTTGACAATTGTCCAGAATCCCTTAGTTCAGTGACTCCTTTCTCAGCTAGTAGATTATTCAGGGGCTTCCAATTCATCGTAGGGAGAAATAAAGGGCCCAAAGTATTTTTATTTTTATTTTTTATTTCAAAATATTAAGAGAGTACAAATGTTTTTGTTACGTGGATACCTTGTATGATGTTTTAAGTTGGGGCTTTTAGTGTGCCTGTCACCAGAATAGAGTTCATTGTACCTGAGAGATAAGTTTCTAAAGTATTTTTAAAGAGCCCTCCCTCTCTTAACATTTCTGGACTGGAAGCACCTAAACTGCTAACATCATATTAGGGCTGATGTGGGAAGTTCTGTTCAGTGGAATTGTAATGTAGTTAGTTTTTATAAATTACTTGGGGATTTTGAGGGATGGATGATAAGATGCTAAAAGAGAGAAATTTATGTAAGTGACTCTTGTAAAGTGCCACAGCTATCCGGCTTGTGTCCATGGTTAACCTAATTTCTGTACCCCTTTTCCTTGGCATTGCCAACAGTCACACAGGCATCCGTGTAACCCCATAATACTAAGGAAACATTGTAGTTACTCATCTCTCCGTTACCCCCTGCCTTCTCCACATGTCTGTCCCCACCTCCCACCCAATCCATTTCCTCCCAGATTCTTCTGAGAGTTGTTATCTGAGGAAAAAAAAAAATGCCTTCTTCCTGCCTTTTCACAAGAAACTCACCAGGATGAAATGCACGAGGACAGAGGCCATCAGGATGAGGGCTCGGGCTCCCATGGGCAGAACTGCTGCTCCTCCAGGATCAGGTGCTGGGCGTCTGTTGCCTCCTTTTGGTGCTCTGTGCCATGTTTGACTTCCTCGCCTAGAATTCTTAAGGAGAGAAACTTTTCTCAGCAATTAATCAGCTTTCCTTCTCTCCCTCCCTCCCTCTCTCTCTTTCTCTCTCTCTCTTTCTCTCTCTCTCTCTCTCTCCTCCTACTCCCTCTGGCTGCGGTACTCTATGGCCTTTCTCTCCCCGTGGCTCCTGGTTTCCTTCTCTATTGCTGTGTCTGTGGTCTCCACATTTGCTTCCCTTTGCCTTCTGTCCTTCCTTTCCACTATCAATTCTTCCTACATCTTTAACTTTCTCCTACTGCTCCCAAAAGGAGGACATTCAAGGAGGACCCGGCTGTTCTCCGGAGGAGGTATTTTTCTAGTCAGTGATGAGAAACTTGGCTTGGAGGAAGGTCCGGGGCAGGTTGCTGGTGACCAAATATGTTCTCTTCTTCATCAGAAAACTAGTAATAGTCTTGCTCCTTCACCAGAGCGCTCCAGGGCAACTGTTGGAGATTGAAAGTCACCCTGCCAATCTGTTTTCACCTGCTCTGCATGTGATTAACAGCCCCTCCTTGCTCTTTGAAGCCTTCCCCTTCACTATGTTGATCATCAACTCTCCTGGTTCTGGGTCACTTATCCGTAACCACTGGGGTAGGACTGAGAGGTTGCCAAAAGAACAGAAAAGCCATCCCATCTTTGGAGAAAGCAGGTTTGAAGATTAGACTTTGCAGATGCTATCAATGAATCCTCCTCCACCCTGACTTCGGTTCCCATTGAAACAGATAAGTTACACAGTCAGGCATAATTTTTTAAACTGGGTTCCAAGATTTGTATGTTTGTTTGTTTCTTTGTTTTTTTCCTCCGTTCCCTTCTTTGTTCCTCTCTCTCTCTTTGGTAAAGTAATGGTATGATTGAGAAATAAACCCTGCCACTCAAGAAAATAAAACCTAAGGTCTGAGTAAAAGTAAGTACACATGGAAAGGACATAGAATACTTGTAAAGAAACATATCTATAGGAACAAAAGAATACCATATAAATGATTTATACTTAAGTAGGTAATCCATTAATGCAAAATATTTTGTAAGAAAATTAGCTGTTAGTTCGCAGTGATATATCTGTCTCCTAAAATCAAATAAAACCACCTTTCAGACCCTTTCTAGTTTTGAAAGTCTAATTATACTGAGTGATTGTGGAGGGGAGACTATTGGGTGGGTTTGATCACACTCTCGGGGCCCTTGCACAGCATGACAAGGTGATATGAGAATGGAGAATCTAATCTTTTTTCCCCGTTAAGGCAAACAAATAGTGAAAGAATAGCCTGGTATGATACTGGTGATTTAAAATCCATCAGTTTCAAAACTAAATGAGCATTGACATTCTTTATTATTTTTTTTTAAACTAAGGCAGTCGGAGTAAGGATGAAGAACGTTTCTCAAATTTCAATAGAAAACTTAGCAAGGTGGAAAGTATTTTATAGGACAAAAAAAAAAGCAGGACTTTAGTTCTTGCCCTCCATTAAAATTCTTATGTAGTTTCTCCAATCCTTAATGTTCCCGTGTATAAAACAGGAGTGGAATGCCCACTTGACCTGCTTTAGATGTTGTTTCATAGAGAACATAAAATCAGAGACAAGAAAGCAT